ACTCATCTATGTCTGTGGCACAAAGAAAGAAATGTCAACCATATACAGATGGTTTCACCATTCAGACAGAGACTATTAAAAGAAAGGTTTTAACATGAAAATCTATGTTATATGATATACTCTGCCAATCTTTTTTTATAGTATGTACAAGTTAAATGGATGCTACACCAAAAAAAAAACTCACCTTGCTGACAGTTTTGTCCAGTCCATCCAGGTGAGCAGTTACAGTTGTATCCGCCATCTTGGTTCACACAGCGTCCATGTTGGCATGGTATCCCGACACACTCATCTATGTCTGTGGCACAAAGAAAACAATGGCACCGATTTTCAAATGATTTTATTATTAAGACAGAGACTGTAAAGATAAAGGTTTTAATATGTTAATCTATGTAATATGATTTACTTTGCTAATCTGTTAGATAGATAGATAGATAGATAGATAGATAGATAAATAGATAGATAGATAGATAGATAGATAGATAGATAGATAGATAGATAGATAGATAGATAGATAGATAGATAGATATAGATATAGATATAGATATAGATGTAGTATATAAAAGTTAATGGATGCTACACCAAAAAACTCACCTTGCTGACAGTTCTGTCCAGTCCATCCAGCTGAACAGGTACATGTGTATCCACCATCTTCATTCACACAGCGTCCATGTTGGCATGGTTTCCCGACACAATCATCTATGTCTGTGGCACAAAGAAAGAAATGTCAACCATATACAGATGGTTTCACCATTCAGACAAAGACTATAAAAAGAAAGGTTTTAACATGAAAATATATGTTATATGATATACTCTGCCAATCTCTTTCTTATAATATATACAGGTTAATGGATGTTACACCAAAAAAATCACCTTGCTGACAGTTCTGTCCAGTCCATCCAGGTGAACAGGTACAGTTGTATCCGCCATTTTGGTTCACGCAGCGTCCATGTTTGCAAGGGTTTCCTAAACACTCATCTATGTCTGTGGCACAAAGAAAACAATACCACCGATTTTCAAATAATTTTATTATTGAGACAGAGACTGTAAAAACCAGAAAGGCCGACATTTGCTTGGGAGCAAATACAGCATATTTCAGTCCATCTCCCTCCCATGCAAAAGTGGATTATTCCAAACTTACCTCAGTGCAAAACTGGCAAAGGTTCTCAAATAAATGAATTAAATAGTAGCTATGTAATTGAGAACAAAGATGCAAGAACAAGCACATTGAATCTCGAAAGCTTTACTAATCTTATTACAGGTATGCAAATAATAACAATGATGAGATTTGATTCATTTTGAAGGTCTTAGGCACATAAAATTGAATGTGTGGGTGCACGACTTACGTGCAATGTGACCTCAGGTAACCCACAATGGAACACGTGTTCCATGGCCAACGGCAGATGGGACGGGCTATTCTTTAGATAGAACGTGGAACGGATACAGCACTTTTGGCCCTTTTTTGGCCTGAAATAGGCATTAAAGTCCCCTAAATGCAAGTGGTGTATGCCAAATATGTGACTGCTATTCTGTAGACACACGTTTAAGGTACCCTTATACCGAATTTCAGATCATTCTGTTGTAATACCAGGGATCAGGATCCAAAAGTCCATTTTTTGTCGAAAAATGCCCCAAAAAACCTTAATAAAAAATTTTCAAAGGCATGTATCAAAAAAATACATAAAAAAGCCAGGGGGTATTTGCCCACTCTACCTCCATGCCAAATTTGAAGTCATTTGGCTGAATGATGGCGGAGTTGTCTCCCTTTGACTGTTTGGCAGGAGAAGGAGAAGGAGAAAGACGAGAGAACACAATATATTTCATCCATACCATGGTATGGACTGAAATATAATAAATGTTTTAATATGACAATCTATGTAATATGATATACTTTGCTAATCTGTTAGTTATATTAAGAGATAGATAGATGGATAGATAGATAGATAGATAGATAGATAGATCTCAC